ATGCAGCCAAGAAGTAGAAGCAGAGTCAGCTGGGTCGTCCCAGGGCTGCAGATCAGCAGGGGAGGTGGATAGAAGGAAAAGGTGGAGAGAGATGACAGTGTCATCCAAGTGGTGGGTCAGAGGAACTTGCCTAGTGGGGCAAGACAGGGCTCCTTGACACCCAATTCAATATTCTTGCTCCGTGCTGTCTCTACACGCAAAAAGGCTTTTATTCTGAGTGGTTTTAGCGTTAATAAGCTGAATGCACTGCTCAGTGAAGGCCTCCGCTGTCTTATTACACTTTGCCCCCAAGAGGCATGCAACTAAGACAGATGAACAGACTGGCTAATGAACAGGGACTGGGCTTCCAATATTCCCTTCCAGAGGAACGATGCATCTCTCCAACAGAGAAATGAAATCACTGAGGCAGCCTGATTATAAAACTAAAACAGCATCATTACGTCTGTCTACCCAGGGTGATCGCAGGACACTTGGAATTTATGACAGACGTCACAAGTAGAAAAATAAATGTGAAACACCATTTATTACAGCCACATCCACCCCAGTAAAAGGAGGAGGTAGGAATCTGAATTCTTGAGGCAAAACTCTTTTTTTCTTGAAATATCCAAACATTTGCATCAAAATAATCTCTCACATTAAAAATGTCACTAATTTAATTTTGGTGATATTTCCCTGAGAGACTGAGTTGGCATAGCCCTTTATACATCAGAGAAAAAGCCTTTGCTAAGAAAATTAATAACACGAACATGATTGTAAGACCAGAATTTAAACTAGTCAAGAAACAACTATTTAAAAATTCTTTGGACTCTTCAGAGTATTTTAAGGCATTCATTTCCATGTAATCAGTTGATACACACAAGGCTATAGAGATTGATTTTTCAATTAATTATATTTCTGCGTATGGTCTGCACATAGGGTGCAGAATTTCATGAAGTCAATGAAAGGAAAGCTGCAGAAACATAGGAATCAAATGACAAGCTACTGACAAACGAAGATCTGGCAGAGTTAGACCAGTTAATCCTAAAAGGAGGGGAAATTGACAAGATGATGCTAGGACAGGAGCTTCAATGAGGGTGAATTAAACAGCAAAGAATTAAGAGAAGCTCTTGGGAGAAAACTTTCTTTGTAAGCTTGCTGTTCTAGAAAATCAAACACAATGGCTATCAGACCTCTTCTGTCAGAAAAATTACATCCTCCAAAAAGCGTTTGTTTCATTCTGGAAAAACAAAGTTATTCTAAGAATTCACATATGATTAGAAGCCACATTTAATAAAATATGACTAATTTCATAATTTTCACTGTTATTTTTCACAATGACATCCCAATAAAACCTCTTTTCATGGGAAATTTTGGACTCCATTTATTTTTTTAATTGGAGGAAAATTACATTACAATGGTGTGTTGGTTTGTGCCATACAATGCAAATCAGTCATAATTACATATATAATTATTTTATTTTAATTAAATATATATATATATATCGCCTCCCCCCGAGCCTCCTTCCCTCTGGACTCCAGCTATTGTCAACATCTCAGCTTCCTCCATCTCTCCTATGGACACATGACTTTGACCTCATATCTGGGATCTTAAGACCCAGAGGATATGATTCTGATCTCCTCCCTGCTTCTCTCTGACCCACCCCACAAATACTCAAACACACATCAATTTTCTTTTTCAGAATAGTTCAGTACAATGGCAACTCTCAATTTTTTTTCCATCCAATACACATGATGGACAGAGTCCATATTCAACATATTCTCCACAATCAAACCAAACTGATGTGCAATTCCATCACTCTCTGCAGCTCCTTCCTTTTCCCTCTGACTCAGGAGAGCAAATCAGAATTAAAAAAAAAAAAAAACAAAACTGTACTTATTATAGAGTCCTGGTGGCTAAGACTGTAAAGAATCCACCTACAATACAGGAGACCAAGGTTCAATCCCTGGGTCGGGAAGACCCCCTGGAGAAGTGAACGGCTACCTACTCCAGTATTCTTGCCTGGAAAACTCCATGGACAAAGAGCCCGGCAGGCCACCTGTCCATGTTGTCGCTAAGAGTCAGACACAACTGAGTGACTAACAACACAAGCCTCCATGATATGTAATTTTTTAATTTCACAATTATATGTAAAAAAAAAAAAAATTCATAACTATGTTTGAAAGACAATCACTACCTTACAGATCCTTAGAAAGTAGCCGTAACCGAGCCCCGATCACTTCATGCTCTTGGAAGCTACCAATTACAGTGCTTCTTTTAAAATACTCTTATTTCACTTTGAGTGGGTGACATCTGACAGCAAGCCACATGTACAATGAACACAAACATGAACGTCTGTGGAGCAGGCAATGCAAAGAACTCCAAGTGAGTGTTGAGAAAGACAAGATGGAAGGTCTGGGAAACTCTCTTGAAAGGAAGGCTCATTTTGCATATTCTCAACCTCTAAACTATAGAGAGACAAACGTACCAGCTCCTTGCTGTCTTGGCATGGGACAAGTCATATTAGCAGTGACCATACAGAAAGAAATATGTTTAGTACTGATTTCTTACTGAGCTGACAGGAGGCAAAAGGGACACTCCTGTGTCCAGAAATGTGCACTTTCACATTATTATTGTTCTCTCCTGCAAATTGTTTGAGAGCTAGGAGGTGTCTCATCATCTCTTTCTTGTTCAGATTTCCCAATTTGTTTTCATTATTCACCAGCCCAGAACCTCAGCTAGACTAAAGCACAATAGCAAATCTGCAGAAAGGAAAAATTAATAATATTTTCTACATAGACTTCCTCATCTTGGGTAGATTTATGAATTTCCCTTCTGTTATGCAGAAGTTAGTATTTTTAACAACGAGAGGAGAGAATCCTTAATTGTTTTTTTTACTGCCTCCAGAGCTCTAAAGACATCTTGTGCTGTGTTGTCATTTACATTTCACATTAAATGCAAAAGATGTTTGAAAGGAGCAAATATTTGTTTTAATTTGATACATCTGTTAACTGAAGTGCTAAAAGACCGCTAAATCACTATGTTAAATTCAGCGATTTGTAAACAATTTATATTTTCATTTGTTCTGGGTTAAAAATGCCCCCAAAGCATATGTTTTATGAAACCCACAAAGTAAACTGCATTGTATCAATCTGATGGATGTAGACTGGTTTCCAGAAAGGTTGCAACATCTTATCAAAGTCCTGCTTTATTTCATTTTCTCTTCCCCTTGAGCCTATGAAAAAGCCACAGGCAGTCACTTATTTCCCTGCCCTTGTAATAACAGAGAAACAAATCTTGACTCTTCATTGGATCTGTTTCTTTTACTTTAACATATGTATTCTATCACTTTTGCTACAAGAATGTTGCCTTTAGCATGAAATATACAGGATGGACCATTCTCAAGGCTTTAATGTTTAAAGACATAACGCTTTCCCATTCATATGAAGAGTTGCAGAACAGAATAACATTCGTCTTATTGCAGGTTTATAGGAACATCATAATCTTACCAACCTTACCTGTACATACAGCTGCAAAAACAAAGAATTACTAAACAGAGAAGCTTGCAACAACCAACCATACCCCTCCCCTTTTAACAAAGAAGCTTGAACGCTAACTCAGGTAAGATGTTTCTGTGGGACACTAGTCCACCATCTGCTCAGTCTGCTGGCTTTCCAAATAAAACTGCTATTCCTTGTCCCAACAACTTGTCTCTCAGTTTCTTGGCCTGTCACATGGTGAGTGACAGGCAACTCGGAGGCACCCCAGAGAAAGAAGGTTAAAACCTGGGAGCTGCACTTAAGTGCATTTGAACTAGGTTCTAAGTCTGAAATTCCTCCTCTATGAAATGGAAATATGTCAGAAGCACAGCCCCTGATGCAGACTCAGGCATCCCCAACCCACAAACCCCTTCTCTCATTTTGCACAGACACAGTAAAGTCAGGCCCACTGTACAGACCCCGGGAAGCCAGGGGTAGGGCTGGGCCAAAACCCAGTTCTTGTCATCCCTCTTCAAGTCCCTTCCAGCTTTCTTTCTTGTCTAACTTTCACCCTGGAACCTGTTTCTCAAGTTTCCCACACCAAAACAAACAGCACCATGATTTATTCCTCCTCGGATGCCACACTGGAGAAGGGACTGGGGAGAAAGGGAAACATTTGTTCCATCAACTCCCCCTTGACGCACACTCACAAGGATATCTTTTGCTCCTTTCCGCTAAAAAATGTTTTGAAAGACCCTTTGCTGCATACACTTTGTGTGTTTCTGGGAAAGCCTAGTCTCTCAAAGGGGGGCCACCAGGACTCTCCTCTAAGGTCTTGGGGGGCCACTGATCATGGGCCCCTTCTCTTCCTGGCACACAGAAGGATCTGAGTCAAAATAATTGCATCACAACCAAAGTTCGGGAAACAAACCAAGTTCTCTGCATGGAAATTGGCTATTTTGGATAATCAGTCAAGTCGCAGGAAATCTGGGAAGCCAAATTTTCTGATACAGACAAACAAGCCAGCCCACTCCTGCTATGTTGCTGTGCTCTGATAACAAACAGACCCACCACGACGAACACTCAAGCACTATCCAGAGAAGTGGGTATCTGAGAGGTCCACTTTCTTAAGACTTGGGTAGGAAACCACTTTGGGGGAACAAAGTCGCAGGCTGGAGAGTGTATTCCTGACAGCCTTGTTTCTGCTAAGGAGGACAAAAATGGGAACACAGTCTAATTGCCTGAGAAAGGTTGCCCGGGGCAAAGATGGGCTAGATAAGGATGCTCCCTGCCAGCCCTGCAGAACTCGGTCCTTCTCAGAGGACTTTCACCTGTCCCGAGTTACCTAGTTCGACCCTCACATTTCTCAGTATTATCATCGCCATTTTCCCTAAGCTGTCGGCCAGCTGTGACTTGGCCAGCAGTCACAGTGCTGCCACTGGGGAACGTACCTAGACCTTCTGGCTTCTGGTCAAGTGCTCTTCTGACCATTACCCCAGACTCCAAAACAGAGAGAAGAAACATCCAGAGGCTCATATCCTTGCCTCTTCAACCTCAGTGAACTTAGGTTCACACTTACAAGGCAAGGCTTGGGTTAAGAGGACCACGGGGGCAGTGGTGGGGTGGGGGTGAGGTCTGCTCCCCCGAGGCCCTGCAGCCCGGACTCACTCAGGAAGATGATGGTCTGCCTCCGGGCACTCCTGCTCTCCTGGCTCTCCAACTTCCTCAGCTGCAGCTGCCGCCCTTCAGCAGTCAGGGTGCCCTGCTTACTCCTCCTCAGCACCTGCATCATGCTCCAGCACATGAAAGCCACGGAGGCCAGGACCACGAGGTAGACCATGAAGGCGCCGAAGATGCTAGACTGGAACACGGTCCAGTGGCTGGACAGATTGGTGCAGATAGACATGTTGGAACTCTCCGGTTGCTCCTGGTGGCGTGTGCGGGAGCGGTTGCAAGTGAGTCCCCAGCGAGTGGGCACGTTCACCAAGGGGTACTCGACTCCCATGGCAAAAAGCAAAGGCAGCGCCACTAGGGCGGAGGTGACCCAGACGAAGCCAATCAGCAGTTTCACCTGGCAGGGCCCCGACATGGCCTTGTACCTGAAGGGGTGGCAGATGGCGATGTAGCGCTCGAAGCTGAGGGTCAGCACGTGCAGCAGCGTGGCATAACTGCAAGCCTCAAAGAGGAACGTGTGCACCTTGCAGGACACGGTGTAGCTGGGTGTGGTCAGGGGGTTCCAGATGATGCTGTAGAACTCCATGGGCATGCCGATGAGGAAGACCAGGATGTCGGAGCAAGCCAGGCTTACCATGTGATCTGTCACCTCCTTCTGCAGGTAGCCTTTCTTCCGTAGCACCTGGGTGACCCGAATGGTGACACTGTTCCCCAGGATGCCCACCACGAAGATAACCAGGTACACCAGGATGAGGGTGATTTTGATCCAGGTGGCCACCTCGAACTCAGGAACATGGCTGTGATCAATGACCTGGGAGCAGTCCCTGCTGGGGTGGCTGGGGGAACCCATGAGGAAGACAGCCAGCCAGGCAAGCGGGTCCAAAGTCCTTCTCCACTTCCCTTCCTCCTCCCCGCGGAGCCCAAGGTTCACCGCTGCCCCTCACCGGAGTGGGCGCAGGGCTTTCTCTCGAGCTCACCTGGAAAAGACAATTTGAGATTACAGGTGCTTTTATGGAAACTTCCTGGGGCAGCCCAACCTAGGCGAAGCCGTAGGCGCTTAGGGGTGGGGCTTGGGAGGGTGGTGACTGGGCGAGGCGTGGTGAGCTCAGAGGAAGGAGGTTCCAAACTTGCTGCAGCCAGTCAGCCCACAGCCCCCAGCTCCCCCGCCCTTCCGCCGCAGGACTCTGGCGCTTTGCTCCGCGTCTCTCCGGCTCCCCTCCAAGCCACCTGGCCTTTACTGGTCAAACCCACCCTCCGGGAGCATGGTCTCCCGTGCGGAGAGGCTGGACACCGGGTGGTCAGCGATTAATCATTAACCACCGCCGCCAGCGTTCCCGGCCCGCAGACCCAGCCCAGCTGGGGTTTGACTCAGCACCCAGGCACTGTCCCGAATCCAGATCTTGGCTCAGGAGCACGGGGCGACGCGCGGCCCCACCTTCGCCGCCGCCTTCTGGGCGCACGCGCATCCCAGCCCCGGAGGCACAGCCCAGGGGAAGCCGGAGTGCGCTCCTGGACTTGGAGTCCCGGGCTAAGGCTCGGAAGGACCGGCTGCCCCCTCCTGCCCTGGGGTCCCCTTCAAAGGTTGGGCCACCACCACCAGTTTGGGGGGCGGCGACGGCTGGACCCAGGCGCCCTCCAGTTGGCGGGGGCCCCCGGAGCTGCCAGCAAGCGTTCCCTCTTTGGTGCCCAGCCGTCGAGCCCTGGGTGTGCTGACAGTGAACGGTCAGGCTATGCCTGGCTGGAGCTGCTGCCCCAGGAAGTCTAATAGGGTCGCCGTAGAAGCCTTGCCTTTCCCGCAAAGCCTCTCGGCGGCGTTTGTACGGGGCCTGCCTCGCATCCCTGCCTAGAGACCCGAGGAACGAGCACCAGGCTCCTTCCTTTCAGTTTCACCCGGCTGCCCAGGCCCCTCCCCAGGCAGCGGCGGCGGGGAATCTCTAACTGGGGACGTGTAGATGCATAAGGACGGCGCCATCCACCCGGGCGCTTCTGGTAGGAAGCGCGTCCCCAGTCCTCCTCCGAGGGAGCTGCGACCGGGACATCTAGGGCAGCAGGAGGGGTAAACATGACATTAAGGATTATGACATTTCCCTTTTCTCCGAGAGGAAAACCCCTAATGGACCCATCTTCCTCTTCTAATTCTAAAATCCAAAGGAACGCTGCCGTGCACGGGGGTGGAGTGAGGAGGTGGGGGTGTCTGGTGTTGGGGGGAGGCTGTCCTATGCATTGTAGAATATTTAGCATCCCCAGGTCTCCTGCACCCCCATACCCAACCGTCACCCAACAAGGACAGCCAGGATGTCTCCAGATGTTGCCAGTTGTCCTCTGAGGAAGCAGAACTGGCCCAGATGGAGAGCCACTGCCTTGAAGGAAGGAAATAGATCCTCTTTATCTGTTCATCCTGAGGGCCTAGCACAGGCCTGTCCAAAGAGAGTCCCTAAATTATCACAGATTTTATTTTCTTGGGCTCCAAAATCAGTCTGGACAGTGACTGCTGCCATGAAAGTTATGACAAACCTAGGCAGCGTATTAAAAAGCAAAGACATCACTTTGCTGACAAAGCTATGGTTTTTCCAGTTGTCATTTATGGATGTGAGAGTTGGATCATAAAGAAGGCTGAGCACAGAAGAACTGATGCTTCCAAACTGTGGTGCTGGAGAAGCCTCTTGAGAGTCCCTTGGACAGCAACGAAATCATACCAGTCAATCCTAAAGGAAATCAACCCTGAATACTCATTGGAAGGACTGATGCTGAAGCTGAAGCTCCAATACTTTGGCCATCTGATGCAAAGAGCCACCTCAGTGGAAAAGACCCTGATGCTGGGAAAGATTGAGGGCAGGAGAAGAGGGCAACAGAGGATAAGATGGTTGGATGGCATCACCAAGTCAATGGACATGAGTTTCAGCAAACTCTAGCAGATGGTGAAGGACAAGAAAGCCTAGTGTGATGCAGTCCATGGGATTGTGAAGAGTCAGACACGACTTAGTGACTGAACAACAACAAAATTATCATAACCACCACCCTATGATGTGACCATTTTAAAGATGAAGAAAGAGGTGTCCAGAGGAATAGATGCTTCCCCCCAAGGCCATAAGAGAGTGAGTGAGGGAGTTGAAAATGAATCCAGATCTATCAAACCCTGAGTAGACCTACAGTCCTAACAGGGAGGGGATTCTGGGAGCACAGAGGTTCTCAGAAACTGAGTTGGGAACAGTACACATAGAGAAACAGGGACTTTATTTTCTGAACTCAAACCTGGACAGGTGGGCTGAAAACTTCAGGGAGTATTTGATTTTGACATTGTCTCAGAGAAAAGAAAAAAGTTGTATGGACATTGGATCTTTACAGTTAGCACCTTATGTGGCTAGAGTTCTGTTTGGTTTTGCTTCCCTTCTCTGTTATATTACAAGCTCTAAGACCATGAACTCTACCTTTTTCCTCTCTGACACCTCTCCACAAAGCCCTAAATAGTATGTTTTGCTGACCACCCTTCCCTCTATGATTTGTGCTATTTGACCTACTTGCTGGCCCAGAAACTCTTAACTCACTTCCTCATCGGTGAGCTGTGCTTGGTGAACATGACCTCCATGTCCTTATAGCTGTCCCACAAAACTCACATGCTGAGCAAGAATGGACTCTTGGAGCTTCGGTAACTACAGATTAGAATCCTGAATGGACTCCTCTGCAAAAGGCCCTGGTTATTTTTTGTCCCAGAGTGACTGAGAAGAAGGTCTGGAAGAACCCCGCCCTCCAACCACTGGTACCACCAGCACGGCGTACAAACATACCCACTTCTTTCTTCTCAAGAGGAAGCAAGTCAGAACCTCACAAGTATCCCTCAGTCCTGCTACTGATCCTGCCTTTGAAAAGTTCCTCTTGGTCATTCTTTGAGCTCCTGTTATGTGTCTGGCACTTTCCATGATTCGTTTCTTTCAATCCTCACGAGGCTACTAGGTAGACGTTATTACCCCATTTTACTGATGAGGAAATTGAAGATCGGGAAAATTAAGTGACCAACCATTAAAGATTGGAGGCAGGCTTCCAACCCAGGTCTGCCTGGCACCACAGCCGTCTCTACTCTGGAAGGCTCCCTGTGCAGGGCAAAACCGTGTCAGGCTGAATAGTGGCATTCTGGGGAGAGGAGCTTTTTCTAAGTCACTAGATACTTCTCCTCGCCCCAGCTCCAGCATGCCAGTCATCCTGCAATGCATTTGATAATTCCAATTTGTTCTGCTCAGACAAGATTTCCATTATTGTTCAATTTCTTTCATCAATTTTTTCTTTCACAAAGTGTGAACAAGGATTACAAATGCATGGCCAAATGGTGAGAATCAAGCTAATTAAAATTCGTTCCTTACAGTAGAGATGGAAAATTGCATTTTGAACAAAGGTCCAGGAGAATTGAATTTCCATTTCACCTTTGCTTTTCCTAAGACCAATTAAAAACTGTATAATGTGCTCTCATTTGTTGATAAAAGACTGGTATAACACCTGGCCTGACTCTGTGTAATCTAGATTTCTTATTAACATATTGTATAGAGGGGAAATAGAAGAAAAATAATGAAAAGAGAGAGGAAAGAATGCATTAGGTACCCTTTGATATCAGCTCCACTCCAGGGTCATTCTGGGTCTACACTAACTTATATTCACATTTTACACTTTCCAAGTGACCTTTGGGGTCACTTAGCCGAGTGGCTTTCACACTTTAAGCTCTCTAATTTTTATAATCTTACATTGGCAACCAAAGTTTAAAAAAATACACACACTTATATATACATATATATTTTTGCAAATTTAAATTTATTATGTATACTCAAATTAACATTTACTCATATAAAATCAATCAGTAACTTATACCCTAAAAAGTGAATAACACCTTGCTTACAAAGGTTCATGGGAAAATCACAGTGACTATACACTAAGCTATAAAGGGAACTTCAATAATTTTCAAAACTTATAAACAGTGTAGTTAGCTTTATTAAGAATGCAGTACAACTAAAAAGTCATAACAGAACCAGAAAATTCTACCATCTCAAAAGAAAGCCAAAACCAAAATTGTAAAGTATCTAGAGAACAATGACCACAAAGAGACTTGCCTATCAGAACCTGTAGAAAATTGCTATAGGACTTCTCAGAGAAAAATTCATAGCCCTAACTAGTTATTCTAATAAACATGAAAGCATAAAAATAAAAGGTTATTAAAATAATAAAATTAAGGAAAATAAGGAGTTAATAAAGATCAAAGGAATTGTGGAAGAACCAAATAGTAGAACTAATAAATAATCCCCCCCCAAAATTTTTAAGTAGGACTAATCATCAAGAATGATGAGTATCAGTCTGGCAGCCTGCATCTCCCATTCCCATAGCACAGGTGTGACCCTCAGAGAGGAGAAACGAAATGAACCCTAGGACCACTCAGACGTGCTGCCCGAGGAGCTTTGCAAACCATGGGGCAGACCACAGTGGAGGCAGAGGCCGCCAGACTTCACGGAGCATGGCACTGGAGGACTGAGGGACACAGACAGAGCTGCAGACACGGGTGCGGAGGTTCTCTTTTGTGCTTGGCCAGGGTACCGAGTGGACACGTGGAGGTGAAACTCCAGGAGCTGGGCAAAGTATGATTACTGAAGGAAGAACAAATGCTGGGGCTGTAAGCCAGACAATTCTTAAGGTCCCAAATTGTTGTGAGATGCTAAAGTTCCAAGCGATGAGTGAAGAAACCTCACTGAACCAACCCTGGAGGGGCCAGACTTTAGTAGTAGAATTAGCCACAGAACCAAGGATACTCTAGACCTGCCTTAACAAAGATACTGACCTGAGCTATCAAACAGGGTAGCCACTAGTCACCTGTAGCTCATGACACTAGAAATATGTCTAGTCCAACCTGAGATCTGGGGATGTGCTGTAAGCATAAAATATATGCCACATTTCAAAGACTTTCTATGAAAAAAAGAATGTAAATGTAATTATTTCTATATAT